AGTGTGCATGTTTCTGTGAAGTAACCGATTTGTAAAAATGCAACTCGATAGGTACTTAGATGAAACCTAATAAAGAATATGTAAGTTATAAAAATATACCCGCCAATGATGCTGGTACATTGGATGAAGTCGATGTTTTGTTCCGGCAATATTTTTTCATTACAGAAAGTTTTTGTAACACTTCACATGTAAACCTGTATTATCATGAACTTCCTCTGGCAAACAAATGTCATTAAATTTTAAATTATGTTGTTTTCTCATTTTTAATATTGATTTGCTTTTGTCTAAAGTACTTGTTGTAAATTTTACAGTTTTATCATCAATATCTTGTTTGCAAATCACACAAACAACGTTTGCAGATTCCATTTTACTCACTATTTACTTATATATGAATAATCGTTGGCACAACTGACGTACACAAGAATAACTGCACAATTCATATTTAATTGAAATTAAAGTCATTACAATACTTCACAATATAAAACAGTGAAATTCTGCGTAAGATTTTACACAGATAAATCGTTGTTACCTCCGACGGTTTTTTTTTTCAGGTATAGGACCTATTTTCCAGTTAGATAAACTGTCTCAATCGCACCACCGAGTTCACGTTGAGCCGCTTACTCGCACTTCCATAGCATCTTTCCCACTGCCGGATTTAGGGGAGGGCAACCGGGGCGAAAGCTCCGGGGCCTCCACAAACGGGGGGCCCCCACAATAGAGACTTCGGAAAAAAAATCTTTCAAATTCCAACTAGTAAACACTAGTAAATATCTTTTACGACCTCCGTGGTCGAGTGGTTCGTACGCCGGGTTACATGGTGTCGCCGACTCGAGAGGTCCCGGGTTCGAATCCCGGTGGGGGCAGTTGTGTGATGAATACGAGCATTTGTACTCCAGTCATGGATGTTTAATACGTATTTCTATATAAATATACTTATATATGTACAGTATATGTATTCTATCCGTTACCCTAGCATCCCATAACACAAGCCTTACAGTGCTTACTTTGTGTGAGTGTTGCTAATTGGTGTGAGTGTTGGAAATATTTATTTATTATTATTATTATTTTCGGTTCCGTTCGTTACCTCTAAGATTTAATTTCAGATAATTCTTTTATATTTATATGTGTTTGTTCAATACTAAGGGAATCTACTTGGTTCACAATAAATTATTTATTGAAAAACTCGACTGAAAAAAAAATGTTTACTTTATTTGGAAAATAATTTGGGGTGAGGGGGGCCTCCGCTTCTCTGTTGCCCCGAGACCTCTGGACCTCTAAATCCGGCCCTGATCTTTCCCCTCACGAGGCAAGGACTTATGCTAGCTAGAACCGCTTGTCTCTCTACCTACTTACTTTAAATCGCAAATAAAATTATAATAAAACTTTACCTAGTTAAACTAAATGCAAATAATATGACACTACAGAAAGACGAAGTTTTTTATACTTTCCAACAACATGGGTATCAAATGAAAGGACTTTCTAAGAATATAAGGTTTTTGAAGTCATCTATTATATCCAGCTATAACTAAAAAGTAAAAAATAAATTAAAAGTAAAAAACATTATAAACAAAATTTTATTTAAATGCGCATAAAAGAATAAACTACTGAGAATGAGTCAAGTGACGCTAAAGAATACATTAAAGGTAATACAAATTTCATAAAAATATATGAAATTCTATATAATGGAGCGCAAAGTCAGAGATGTAATGTTATTCTTAAGGTATTAAAACTTTGTTTCCTTTTAGATGATGAAATAAGCAACTAAGAATCCTATTATGATGATGAAGAAAGTGATGATGAGATTTATTAATTAATTTAAAGACTTATAACAATAAAAAATATTTTACCCATAACTTTTATTTTCACATCATTTAATTTGCATGAATAATAAATACACCGGAAGTTTTCATACTATGACTCTTACTCGCACTGGCCGCCAGCATTTTCCCCCTCGCCTAGCCAGGACTTGTGCTAGCCAGAACCGCCTGGCATTCTACCTACTTACTTTAAATCGCTTAAATAAACACATATATAAATTTCAACTTTACAGAATAAAGTTTATTTTTATGTATATATTACACACCTTCCGGTTCGCCTGGCGGGTACTTCATCATCTAGCTCATCGTAAACGCCTGGATTTTTTTTTAAACTTAAAAATGAATAAACTAAATTGTATAAAAATTTCAAGCTTAGTTAAAAATTTCAAGTTTTTTTAAATATTTTTTTGTCACTTTCAAAAATATACGGCTTGATGACGTGCAGGGCTGAGGAGTGCCAGGCGTTGCTTACCGTGCTAAGTATGCTATGACTCATCACCATGAGAACAGACCGTTACAGTTTGCGAGAAAACAGTATTTAGGAAATGAAGCAAACTTTTTTCCAATAAGCCGGAAAATGCCGCTTATTTCCAAATGGCGCCGTGTAAGTGATAGTAGTTCTATATCTTTCGTTTCTTTTTCTTTTTCGTACTAAAGTGAGACAAGGTAGATTAAAAATGCTTCCAAGGAAGTTCGAATAAAATAAAAATAAACCCTAAAGGATACGCACGGCGCCATGTATGGAAGCGTGTGGTATAATGCTATACCGCACGCTCCGTTGTATGGCCCGTAATCTTGAACTTTCGACAATATATACAACCTCCGTAAATGCATTTTTTGAGCAAATGTTGAAACAGCCTAGCATATGTCTCCTTATCCTTAGCGAGATGGAATAATTCAACGGCGCTCGAGATTCCAGTCCATTCTCGTAGGTTCCTCAACCAAGACTTCTTCCTGCTACCGACGCATCGTTTTCCAGCAACTTTGCCCATCATTATTAATTGTAAAAGGGCGTACCTTTCGTGTCTCATAACGTGCCCTAGATACGCAACCTTCCTCACTCTGATGGTATCCCAAAGTTCGCGTTTCTTGCAGACACTTTTCGTACTCTTAAGTATTATTTTCGCATTTTTTCGCGGAGCTCTGTGGCATCTTGACTTTGTAACGGTCCGCGCGTGACTGTGAACCAAGAAGTGCTTAAGTGGAGTTCAAGCACTTCTTGGTTGTGACACATTTTGAGCGCACGTAGTGTATCTAGGGGTATTAAATATCGTTGCTGCAGAGCCTTAAATCAGGCCCTGTCTACAATAGTGAATTTATGGATATTTTTTATCAATGATGCCTTTGGTGTGATGTAAGAATTAAAAATAAATTTATAAAAGAACAAGTCTTTATTTAATCTCGGAAGATTAAATTCTGCCTTAACCTAATGTCACTTTTAAATAACTTTGTTACCGTACTCAGAGATATCAAATAAAATGAGTGATGTATTAAATGTTTTCTTATTCTATTGTACTCAATGACGTATAATATTATTACTATAAAACGATCATACATTGCCATCTACCAATAAAATCTTCTTCAGTTAAACTTAAGCCACCAACTTTAATTAAATGTAAATTGATGCCTCTGAGTTCGGTCGTTGGTTATATATTTTCAGTAGGTATACATACCTACTCTTTTTATTAATGGGCCTACCACAAGCACGAGCTTCACCACAGTTTTGCCTGCGCAGGCCGGTTTGTACACGGAACACGGTGCGTGTAGTTGGTAAAACTGTATCACGCGCCAACCCCTGTAATGTTTGTTTTTAAACAGGGCGTGACACGACATTTGACTGTGGCCTTTGCCTTCAGTTGGAGTGAGAAACAAATCATAGACACATGTTTGGGAGTGGACGACCCGTCTATCATCTATGAGCAATTGTCAAAACAACATTTAAAATTTCACAATCTGTTTGTGGTACAGTTAACTTTTCATCTTTTCTTCTGCCCAAAGTATATTATAAGGCATATTATAGTCGTCGGAGTCGTGAAATAGATCCGAAAAGTTTATATCCTGAAGGATATTGGCGGAAATAGCGCGGAGTCGCTAACCGAACTGAGTTTCGCAGGTGGACGAACACGAACCTTCGCAAGGCGTTGTAATAAGGCAGTAACTTGTGATAGGAAACAAAATACTTACGGATAGTTTCATATTTCGAACGGCTTGTACGTTCCCCTCAAGAAATACTGGAGGAATAACAAGGAGACTGTTTCTCTGTACACGGACCAGAAGGGACGCGGGAGTTTATTTGCCAGCCGCTCTCCGGTTTTATGTAACCCGGCCGTAACAGCGGACAGATCATACACCACTAAACCTATCCTAATCAAGGTATTTCACTACTAACCCCGGGTGAGCGTGAAGAAGAACCACAAGGCGAGGTTGGACCCCGACCTACCCATTCCCATATATATACATATATCTATATAACTGGTTATCTCACTGACAACTGGAATTAACTAAGTTTGTCACCAATATCGATCAAACGAGCCGTAGAACCTCTGAAATCCACTAAATAGCTTATTCAGTCTAGTCTATGTGGTATGTGTGGATAAAATATATTAGGTATAGTCGAGAACTCATGTAGGTACATGGTAAAGTGTTATGAATGTCTGATATTCATATAATTATAACCTTTCATGACAACTTTTTGGTTTATATAAACTTTGAACTACTGTATTCAGCTTAGATATTTATAGTTAGTGAAACATAGTTATTATATAAGTAATAAACATAGTTAGGCTTGTTGATTTATATAAGCAATAACTTAAAACTACTGAATTCCTCTGCGTTGGTATCTAAAGTGGATAAAATATACTTATAACATTATCTTAATTCTTTTGGTTTTCTTTCATTGTTCCCCCGGTGCTCTGAGTGAGCTTAAAAGAGGGCAGTGGAGGAGGATTTAACATCCCACCCCACAGCGCGGCCTGCGCACTTTTCGACTTGCTTGAAATTTTGCCTGCGCAAGCCCGGCCTGCGCGTACTTGTCTGTGCGTGTGGTTGGGCGTTCAGTGTTCAAGCCACAGTCGAGTGTATTTTGAGTCGAGGCTCGCTCGTCGTTTCATGAGGTCGTTCGTCATCGTCACTCAAAAATGGCAGATTTGCGTACGTACAATCGCGAATTCACGTCTGAATTAATTAGTTTATACAAATCTCTGCCTGCACTCTGGAAAATTAAATCTAAAGATTATTCCGACCGAAATAAAAAAAAACGACACTTACGAAAGAATGATAAATAAAATGAAAGAGGTAAGAACATAATTTTTGCAATTAAATACCTATGCCTAATACCTACTACCAATTACTTGCACATATTATGTACATATCCTATCGTTTTTACATGTTCTTTTTAATAGCAAACACTTGAAAAATAGTAGCATAAGAAATGTTTCTTCATTAGGAAACATTGTTTCCACGCCAATGATTTCGATAAGAATGAGGCTTGCGCGTACTTAACTGTGCCGTGTGGTAACGCACAAAGTGTACAGTTTTTTCGTGCGAGATGCTTGCGCAGGCCAAACTGTGGTGAAGCTTGTGCGTGTGGTAAGCGCATTACTGTACAAAAGAAATATATATGAAGACTGAGAGCTGAGACCTCTTCGTAATACTTATAAGTTCAATCACAGAATGACTGGTATTTTCGGAATTTACAATAAATATATTACAATAGTCTTATACATTACTATTATTCTAAAACAACTAAAATATTTCGGAGATTCACTATGAACCTTGGATACTGTTGGAAAATCATAAAAAAAATCACTTAACATAATCAAGGTTTGTGCTACCTGGTTGGTACACTGTATAACTCGTTTAAAGTCTTTATTGGTACACGTAGGAACGCATCTTTCAGATTACCGCAGTTGGAAGATGGCGCTTCAGATAAATATTTCTCAATACTGTTTAAAAGAGAGTGGGTAGAGTCTGTTCCTAATTCATACTCGTCTATCGCCTTGTATATTGCCTGAAAACAAAGAAATAACAAGAATCAATAACAGATTAAGACCTTATAAAGTATGCATTAAAGGTGACTTTCAATGTTTCAATAATGCCTTATATTGTTTTGACTACGCTATCATCTTACGGAGCTCCGGGGATCGTCCAATGTACCTTTTGGGCAGGTTTCCGCCACGATTTTGTACGTGTTGTTGTATCTAGGTTATTTAATATCGTTGGATGCGATACGTTACGGTGCTGTCAAAAACTCTCGCTTGGGCCTCTGAACAACAGGAGGCCTAATTGGAGGAAGCAGAATCTTGAAATCCGCAAGTTTGTATGCCCATTTCTATCAACAAATTCTTGTTAGTTTCACGCCACTGAGTCTCGTTTTGAACAAAGAATAGGGAAGATGCAAATAAAATATTTATGAAAATTTTATGCTTAAAATGTTAAAAAAATATAAAAGTAAAGCCACTGCAACGTTTTATTTTATATAATGTTGTTTTTTAACAATAATTACGAATTAAAAATGACTTGGAAAAAACCTATTTTAAAACTCCAATCAGCGTTTAGTGACGTCACTCCTGTTATGACAACTTATTTGAGATTATGGTTATAAAAGTAAATATTATTTTATGGGAATATTAATTGCGTTTATTTAATAAAAATGGAAGTTGGGTTTATCAAAGCAGACTCCAGGAAATTACCAAGAGTTAGTGTTGACATGGTTGTAACTTTTTTTGTCCAATGTGCAGAGTTTTCATGTGTAGAAATGAAAGGGACTAAATTACTACGGTAGGTATAAATCATAGTTGTTAAACTTTGTATTTTATTCAGCGGCTTCTACACATAGCAGTTATTTCAGCTCAACAAGAGAATCTTACGGCGTAAACGCAATCGGCTATGTCCAAATTAAAAGAGATGGAGAATTATGTACAGTAAAAAATCGAGTTACTCCGGACCATAAAGTACGTAACGAAAGTTATCGTGTTACAGTTATTTTAAATGAAACGCAAAGCTTGGTTCAGTCCTGCCGCCTGCCAATGTGAAGATTGTGCCACACATTTTAAACTTTATCTAATTTTCGACGTCATTCTCCAACTGTAAAATTAAAAATATGTTATAGACAGGTTTTGTAAATATTAGGTAGGTAGGTTACTAACGCGTTTTTACGTACAAGCAGATTCATTAAGCATATAACAAATATATTCGCCGGCTTACGTCAAAGTGATCTTCACAGCATCGAATAATGGTCTTTGGACAATAATTGTCATTTCTCTTCGCAGCTTGAAACCACTTTTTTCTCAATTTTGGGACAATTAAATTAATTCAATCAAAAGTCAAAAACAATTTATTTGGATACTTTGTTGAAGTAGATGGACACATTGGCACAAAACATGAGTCAACATGACTTTTTTTTCGAAATATTAGTGGTATTGTTATGATCACCTGATGTTGATGGATACTCCATTTTAGTTTTTTCCAAAAAAATATCTCGTAAGTCGAAAAAAAGTATGAAAATTGAAAGCCAGCGACGAACAAGTACGACCAGTGACAGATAGGAGTGACGTCATCGGAACCATAGGTCCGTTTTCGCACGAAAATTTAAACTGTCAATTTAAAACCGCATTTTTTCCGATAAATTACAATGTTTTAATTTTTTAATATATCTGTGGTTTATTCTACATGGAATTCTTTAAAATGGAAACAAAAATAAAAATATTGCATCTTCCCTATTGTATTGATCGGGCGAACGCACTAAGTAACTGCCCTCCCTCCCCACCGAATCCCCGAAATCGTGGGCCGTTTAATGAAAGTTTGTGAGTGTGTGAGTGTGTATGTTTGTTACTTCTTCACGACTAAACGGCTGGAGCAATTTAAATAAAATTTGGTATGGAGTTAGCTGACACCTTGGATTAACACATTGGCTACGTTTTACTGAGGGAAAATATCTCTAATAAACCGCGGGTAACACCCAGGGGAGTCTTTCCCATAAGAGCCCTGAGTGCGGCCGCCAGCCGGGCTCGGCGATCAACATCTAAATGAATCTGGTAGATAGTACCTACCTATCTACTTACCTTACCCAACTACAATTTTATAAATCTTACTTAAGATAAATGTTTAAAAACAAAATTAAAACTTACGATTTAAGTATATAAAGTCAGTTTTAATGATTGATTGAAGAACGTATCTTCTAGTCAACTCGGTCAAACTATTATACATACAGACGTATGCTTGCTTATTTATGTGGTGAAAAATCAATGTCAATTTTTTTTTAAAAGGGGGTATTGTTGTCTTTCGCACCCGGACGCCGCATATGTTTATCACGCCCCTGGTAACACCGCCGGGCACATTTATTTTTCAATAAAATTATGATCACCTGGAACGCAGGCTGTTTGTGGTTGTGGAATGCGCGCCGGCTGCCGTGGAGCAGATGGACCCCGCGCGCGGTCGCGTCGGCGCACGCGTCGCCGTACATGCACTGGTCCGCGCGGTAGTTGTACCGGCAAGAGAGCACCAACACCGCGTCCGTGTGGTAGTGGAATATTATGTTTATAATGTCCTGCGCGTACAATAATCATTATGGTTACCTATTAACAGTATCATTAGCACGAACCAATTACGAATTCTTATCGTTTGCGAGTCCGAAATGTCATTGTGAAATGTGTACTGATTTTTAGTTCCCGTTACGTACTTTGTGGCGCTGCTGTTCAAGTTTCCATACAAAATTTTACATTGACATTTCGATTTGCAAACTATTCGAATTCGATAATGGTTCGTGCTAGGGGTACAGTACCCTTAGTACGAGTTTGAGCACACGAAAACTATCATAGTTTTCGTAATTGTAAATTATGTTTCTATGTCCACTTTGGTGAAAAGTAACCAAAAAACTTAAAATTTAAGAAGACGCAAATGATTTAATGACGGAATTTAAACACTGTTTATTTGTTTTGTAACGAAGACAAAAAAAAACTATCTATGGAAACATTTTTTTGTATTATGCTTTTGCCTTGCCTTTTTTTGATTTAAACAATTTTTTAGAGGTTTTTCCGATATGTACCGATATACATATAGGCAATACAGTGGGTTTCCCATAAAATTTGTCACATTGTGGTATAAGCCACACCTGTTTTTTTATTTATTTCCTCCATATCCAACCTACTTGGCCATCACCAATTATAAAATGTTTGTTTATGGTTTTATTTATTTTAATTTAGACAATGGGATCAATTCTGGCGTTACATTCTCTAAACCTAAACTTAAAATTAGAGTGCTAATTTTAGTTTAGGTTTAGTAAATTGGTATTCTGAAATTGCGAACTAACTAAATTAAGATCACAGTTGACAGCTGCAAACGAGCATGTAAATTGAATTCACAGATAAGGTAAAAGCATTGAACTGGTAATTATCGGTTTACTCAAAATAGCAATAAATACTTATTATTCAGTGATTGCGACTTATTTCAGTAATTCTTTGTTCTTCATCATCTTTGAAATGTGGAAACTTAACATAAGCTTGTTATTTCACTATATGAGAAATTATGAATCAGTAAAGAGTGAATACTTGCCTACTCTGTGGTACTTAGGGTTTCTAGATTGGGAGTATTTATCCTTATTTTGGGGAAAAATATGAACTTGGGGAAATTAAATCTGCGGGGAGAACTTTGGATTCATATTTTTTCTTAGAGCATGCTCTAAGTATTTTTTTTGGCAAATGGTTGGGGAAAGCCACCACTTCTAAAATAAAAAGCAAATATAGGTACCAACTAGATTTTGGTACCTAACAAATCTATTAAGGATGATCAGTCACGCTTGACTGCGTCGAGTCCCAGCCTAGCTTCAGCCGTAGCACGGTCATCGAGCCGGTAACGCACCTGCAATTTACAAAAGACGTGCCTCGACTGAGCATTTAGGTAGGTACCGTTGTGCCGTGATGCAGTCTACTCATACAGATAAAGTAAATAGGGTTTAAGTACTCGTCCGAGCAAAATCGTTTTTTTTTTGTCTGAAGTAATAATACGATTGCCCGGCAATCGTAGTGATACTTCAGACACCGCGCCGGCGCTGTGTTCATGCAACGGGCCGTGGCGGGGCCGAGGCGAGACCAAGTTTTTTTCCGAGCGTTGTTCGTTTGTATGTCGGTTACCGCCCGGAATAGCATGAATGTGTCCATAATCCATGTAAAATATATTATTTTATATTAGTTAACTCTGCTACGGCCGACACGGTCTAACGTGAATCATCTTTGAAAATGTCTCGCATCGTAAATTCGCAATCCAGCGCATCTATCTAATACCTACGGTTATAAATTGCGGTTGCGATAAGTGGTTGTTATTATCCCCTCGGCTGTTTTGTGAAGATTTTGTTCTCATTTATTGTATAACGTGAGATGCGTAACCTATTTTTATCTTTATTGTTTCAATCAGATTTTAGCGAGATGGTCCCAAATCCCAATAATTCTTTTGGTGAAGATGACAAGTACTTTCGCATATATAAAAACAAACTTCTCAATGACAAACAGCAGAAACTTAGCTATTAAAAAGTGGTAAATAAAAATATTTCTAACAAATATCAAAAACTGCTTCATAAAAACAAAACCACTAAAAAGAAAGGAATAAATTATACATTAAAGTCTAAAATAGCTACATTTAAAGTCAAAATAACATTTGGATTGGAATTGGTGATTGGAATGCATATCACCGACACCATTAAGTAGATTTAGAAAAACAAAAACACGTAATTAAACAACCAAACTATAGAAAAGAAGTTCTCGAGGCAAACAGTTCAGTAAATTTTCCTTTCCACTTATTAACTTTTTTTAACCAACCAAACCCATATCAAACCCTAACAATAAGTTTAAAACTTATCTGTAGCAATCATTTACCTAATTATTGGCCCTAATTATTCACATTTAAATTTAGAGAGGACCTCCATAGGTCCTTCTTAAATTTAGTGTGACATTTCTAATTTTAGAGAAAATATGACATTTAGAACGCGTTTCAGAATACCAAATAATCAACTAAAGCTAAGTTGAGTAACTTAGCAACGTCAGTTTTTGATTTAGAGATAGAGTGTCATTGCAGAATACCAAATTGAATTTGACAAGTCTATATCTAATTTTAGTTAGTTTTAGATATAAGTTGGCACGCCAGAATTGGGCCCAATGATGTTGATTCTGTATTGATTCTCTAAACTTAAAACTAAATTTAACATCAGTCTCTCCTTTTCATTTTGTATAGAGAATGGCAAGGATACACTGTTGTCAAAGGACATTGGGCAAAAATGTATGGACGCTGCACCCACGTCCGCCACGGGTTAAAGTACATTTTTTTGAAAGGTATACTAGTAATGATCATCTGAGCAAAAGCGCATCAAATTCTATCCCGGGAATCTTTAGTTATTTTAAGTTATATTGGTACGATTACTATAACGAACGAACATTAATGAAACAAGGGAATTAATTTAGTTAGTTAGTTCGACCCTACATAGAGGGCTCTGATATTATGGGAGTACTTCACAAGATGCAAGGGTGGCCCTTTATGTTATTCTGCCGCGCTGGAGTGAATCCGAAAAACCCCGCATGGGTTCGGGTTTTTTCAAACAGTCTATTCGTTACAGTAAATTGTATTTTATGTAAAACGGAGCCACCACAAATCACACAAACTTCACGCTTCGGAGAAAACATGATTCCAGTTCATCCATGCTAATTGACAAAACCGATAATCGTATTTCAATGTCCAAAGCATGTTAGATAAAAATCCGTCAAGTGAGTGCACAATCACAACGAAGTAAGACGAGTCGACTATTTGCAACTGCAAGTCCTTCAACCCCCGTAAACCGTTTTGAGGTGGCTCAATAAGTGCAAGCGCAGGATGGTCGGCAGGCTTTGTCGTATATCTGGTTGCATAGTACGATATTTATTTATTTATTTATTATGGTTACTAATAATATAGAGTGAAGGTACTATATAATGAATTTATTTAGCAACCTTAATATTCCCATGTGTCATATCTTTTGACTATCAGTCGACTACCACTATTTTTTTACGGTGTCATTATAAAAAATGCTAGTTTTTTATAGATCTATCGATTCATACGAATTTTATTATTGGCGGAGCTGAGTGTGTTTTGCCCATTGTCCTTTAAGTTAAGATTTAGAGAATCAGGTTATAGGTGCCAATTATGACGTGATTCTCTAAACTTAAAACTAAAATTAACATCAGTCTCTCCTTTTCATTCTGTATAGAGAATGACAAGGATATACTGCTGTCAAATTTAAGTTTAGTTTTAGAGAATCATGCTAGAATCGACACCATAATGTTACTATAGATAAAAGAATGTCAAGCCTAATCATTGTGAATTTATTTATTAGACCCTTTGGTCAGCTTGTTGACTACCATCGCACCTGGTGTCAGCTGTGATTCTTCAACAATAAAAATACATAATTATACAGCTCCACAATAAACGAGTCAATATTACAATTATACTTCTATGTGGTTAAGTATTTGTAACACCCTGTATAATACATAATTTGATGAATTCTTTTTGCACTACTTATTACTATTCTCTATTTGTTAGTCATGTTATGGGTCTTTGTGTTGTCACAACATATAAAAAAATATAGATATGTACGTCACTTTAAGACAAAAACTAAAGTTTGGTGAAATCCACAAAAAAGGATTCTTAATAAACAGAGATTTTTTTTATTCCCTATCTATTTGATACAATTAATTACATACCTGATCGCCCCATGGAATAAACAATTTCCACTTCAACATTATTGGTGTAACATAATCAACCCAGCCAAAATTTCTCATTCTTGTTAGATTCATCAACATTACTCCAGAGTTCAGTCCTAAAAAATATTCTTATCAGATAATTTTAAAACATTAAAATAATAAACTAGATTAGTACTTAAGATAATGAGAAATAAAAGCAGGAATTTTTAGAATAAGCTAGAGTGGAGATAAGAGTCACTTATTGAGCGCTCACAGGCAAGAGACAGTGAGTAAATTATGAGCCAACATAATTTTCATTAATCTTTATTTTTATCTGACTATTTGTAAACATTATTGATAAATAAATTTAGAAAAAATGTTTCCAATGAAATAGTATTGAAAAGGAGGATGAGGAAAAAGTTGGATTTTCATGTCGTGTTCAATTGCAAAATAATGACTTTATAGATTCTCATGAAATACAATTGCAATGCTTTCGGTCGTCATCACAACTGTGTTTCTAAACCAATTGTCTGGGAGGATTTTTTATTCTTTCATGGCAATCAGTTGCAATAAAAAAAAAATATTCTTGATACACAAATTTTTCCTAGTAAAATTCTATTTAGTGGTTGCCATGAAAGAATAAAAAATCCTTGTAGACAACTGGTTGCAAAACACAGTTGCAATGGCAGCCATAAGGGTTCCAACCATTTCTTGTTCAGGAAATATGTACATCAATTTTATGGAGTTCATTATTAATTAAAAAAAATATATTTGGCAGTTCACTCCATGCAAGATTTTATTTGTAAAGAGTTAGTCACAATAAGTTTCTAGTCATTGTCCACCCACCACCACATTCTTTTGGTATTGATTGTTTTGTTAAATACTAATTAATAAGTAAAGACCAAATAAATTACTAGTATATTCATTTTATATTATTATAGTAATTTTTACCATATTTTCCATAAAAGGGATGTTTGGCAAATCTTGGATACCATGAAACATTAGGATTGTCATCTTCAACAGTCATTGCAGAAATTTGAGAAGAATTAAAATTCGAAAAGAATCCCCATAGCTCATCAATGGGACCCAAGAACAATGTATCTGTATCTACATATATCATTGAATCAATATGAGGAATCAGTTTCTGGAATAAAATTTAATGAATATTAATCAAAATATTCTCAAATAGAATATGTGCTGATTATGTTTTATAGATTAATACTACAAAGTGATTCAATTGCTTAACAATCAAATATTAAAAAAATACATTCAATAATATCTAGAATATTGTGTTATTAGAAAAAAAACAGTTGTACTATAGTTCTCTGACTTTATTAAATTATGTTTCACTTACTGGTATAAACAAACGCTGAGCAGCACACTTGCTAAATAAATTCATCCAGTCATCTTCATGGTCCTCTGGAAAGTTAATCTTTTGAAGTTCAAAATTAAGTTTGTTTTTTAATAATATCTTCCAATTGCTTAAAGTTTCATTAAAACTATGTCTTAAATTATCATCAGTGAATATAACAAAATATACAGGTGTCTTAGTGAACAGCAAAACTGACTTTACCAGATTCAATGATTCATTGAATCTTGAATCACATACTACGAAGGATAGAACTATCTTGTCTGTCAATATTGTGTTTTCAAGAGGAATCGTCCTAAAACAAACATACAAATAACCATCTCAAATTCAAAGCATTAGACTAAGATACACACTATAAGTAGAATACTAACATTAACTTAGAATAGTGTTTTCTTGAACTCTCAGTATTGGAAGTTTTGGAAGTGATATGATACAAATAGACTAACAAAGCAGAAATGATTATCAAGGAAAAGGTTTTACTTGAACCGAACTTCCTCATCTTTATGTCAATTGAATTCAATGGAAAACTGATGACCAAATTATACCATCACTGTTATCAGTATTGAGTTAACAGATTTCTTTTAAATTTCAGTAATTAGCACCGCATTTGTTGAATTGACAAACTGGAGGCAATCCATATTATTATGATTATATTTGCCCACTCTTTCATAGTCTTAACAAAAACGACGGGATAAATACATTTCATACACAAAACCAACACAATCACAAAATTCACAAACAAATCTACTAGGGATATTCGATATACATCGATGCATCGAAAACATCGATGTTAGCAATGAAAAACATCGATACGATCCGATGTTTTGAATAGCTTTCAATATACTCGATGCATCGATGTTTTAAAGAAACATCGAATTGGTAATAGAGTTTGACCACGTAGTGATAATATCCTCTTCGGGTTGACCTCAGTAAAAAAACTCAAGTTTGACCACTAAAATTTTACTTATTACTATTATGAAAGCATCATTATTCCGAATTCTCTGATATGGACCCGATGTTGGCAGCACTGCGCAAGAGTCAGTGCAGTGACAATAAAAAATAACGACGAGTTTCTATGTTTATAAACATTTAATAACCTTTAGTTTTGTGAAAGAAACTAAGATTGAAGTATATTTCTAATATCCTTTTGACAGACTTAGCAAACATTTTGCGGGTTATTTAGCGTTTTTTTATATGATCTTTTGTAAAAATATAATACAGATTTTTCTGACACATGACTTTTATTGACTGTATTTAGTTTTACCTACTCATTATGAAAGGAGTTAATTCTATTATTTTATGAAAGATCTCTTATCTATTAGACAAGTCCGTCCGTCCGTCTGTCTGTGGTGCTGTTTCAGCGGCCAAACCGTAAGAGATAGATAAAGAGAATATTTAAGTTATAAGTTAAGAATAGTCTGATAAGACTACAAACCGGATTTGAGTAACGTAGCACTTCCGGTTTTCGAGAAATCACGAATTTCAAACAAAACCACACAGAATCTCCGAAGTTCTCAATTAATTAAATACTTTTTTTTTAAATCGGGTTTTGGTGAACATTTGGTTCACTGGTTTGCTAGTTAATATATAAACTATAATAAAATTATGGATTAAGGTATTTTCATAAACTTCAATTGTATTTTTTTTACTATGAAAAGATGGCCTCTTTTGAAATGGGTCACTTTACACATAAGTTGAGTTTTGTAATAAAATTTCAGAAAAAGTACTCGATGTTTAAAATACATCGATGTTTTCATCCGATACATCGAATGACATCGATGTATAGTTGCGATGTATCGAATCAAAAAATACATCGATGTTTTTTCAGAGTGGACACCCCTAAAATCTACTGACCATAGAGTACATTATATACTAGGACACGAAAAAAGTATCGATACTTTGTGGTATCGAGTACTTTTCCTTTCGATACCGATACTTTTGTACTCGATACTTTGTATTCGATACTTTTACTAAATGAGTACTTTTTGGCAAGTATCGATACCTTTAAAAATTTGGATAAGCGCCTTATATTGATGGCAACGCCATCTTGTTAAATCATAGCAAACCTTCTAAAACGTTCCATAGGGTATTTGACAAGTTTTAGGCAACGATCTCACGTTATTGACTAATGTTTATGGAGTCCGTATAAAGTGGATATTCATCATTCTGTCATGTATTTCAGTAAAAATAACCAAATCAAAAACTCCATTTTCAAGTTGCCGCGAAAACGTTTCTCTAGACAATATGGCGTCTTACTAGTGTGTGACGTCACATGACTGTTATTAAAACGTCAAACGATACAATGTAATGTCACTTTGACCGGAAGTTTACTTGCGTGTGGCGTCATTTTAGGCTCCGCCAATCCCAAGCGTTTTGGGTTACGTGACAATAGATAAAAAAACTAATATCTTTTTCGTTATTTTGGCACTTTATTTTTTATACTGTCAAATGCTCTATTGCGTTGTTATAAAGTCAGTAACTGACATATTCAAATTCTTTTCCATCTGTGACTGTGTTTATTTTGCGCTTTGTTTTGTTTCATAGTTATTTATTTATCTATATATCCATATTGTTAGGAACTGTGATTGATTCGCCGTTTATTGTGCTTTTCGCTTGACTGTATTTGATTTATTCAAGTGTAACACTATTATTCTGTCTGTGTTGTGTATACCTATTTAAAACCATCTGAAAAAAAGACGGACGTAACCTCTTCTATAATTATAATCTTGAGTGAAGCATGCCAATGGCAGCCGTTAACTACGTGTCAGATTCAAGTTAACAACATTATACCCTAAGTGGGTATAATGTTTTTTGATGATTAAAATTCATGAAAAGTAAGTTTAATTTGAAACAAATCTGAAAAGTTTCATACTTTTAAATTGATTACTTTTAAATTGAAGATTTCGATCTTTTTAATTAACATTTCAATTATGAATGTAATATTAATGAACACTTTTTTAGTGTCAGAAATCACAGCTATTTTATTTTCATTATATAATATAGCAATTTGTGAATTTACATGTCCTTTTTTTGTTTTTGATTATACGTACTTTAATAAAATTTGATTGTTTTTCTTTCAACACAGAGGCTCCGTTAAGGCCCTATGAAATGTACTCAATACTTTGAAGTATCGATACTTTTGTTTCGATACTTTTACGAGTACGATCCTTTTTTACCGATACTACTCATGAGTACAGTATCGATACTTTCTATTCGATATCGTGTCCCTACTACTGACAGGAAAAAGCGCGGGAAAGTTCCAACTTGTAGGACTCGTTCTTTTGGCTTCTGAAAATATTTACTTACAAGGTTAAAATAGTGATCAGGGGATAGGTTTGTTTATTCATATTGTATATTTATTTAGTGTATTTCTGTATTTTTTGTCCCTGCTGCCTGGGTAAGTCAAAATTTAATTATAATCTTATAGTTGTATGAGCGTCCCCTCGGAGCCGGAAGGATTTGTCTGCCCGGCAAGTAATTTTGTCACCATTACATCAAATAATGAATCTGGTATGGAAACAGATGGTACCATGTCCAATCGCACATTTAGGGGCTTTGCAGACGGCGGGGCGGAGCGGGCCGATCAATTTCACCGCGAACGATAGCACAAAGTGAATCCTATATTACAAACGCACACAGAGGGCAAAAAGACCGCGCCGCAGGTGCCCGGCGGGCACTGGCGACGCGGCATGTCTAGGGGTGTCCACTCTGAAAAAATATCGATGTATTTTTTGATTCGATACATCGCAAATATACATCGATGTCATTCGATGTATCGGATGAAAACATCGATGTATTTTAAACATCGAGTACTTTTTCTGAAATTTTATTACAAAACTCAACTTATGTGTAAAGTGACCAATCTCAAAAGAGGCCATCTTTTCATAGTAAAAAAAAATACAATTGAAGTTTATGAAAAGAAGTTAATTCATAATTTTATTATAGTTTATATCTTAACTAGCAAACCAGTGAACCAAATGTTCACTAAAACCTGATTTAAAAAAAATGTATTTAATTAATTGAGAACTTCGGAGATTTTGCGTGGTATCGTTTGAAATTCGTGATTTCTCGAAAACCGGAAGTGCTACGTTACTCAAATCCGGTTTGTAGTCTTATCAGACTATTCTTAACTTATAACTTAAATATTCTCTTTATCTATCTCTTACGGTTTGGCCGCTAAAACAGCACCGCAGACAGACGGACGGATGGACTTGTCTAATAGATAAGAGATCTTTCATAAAATAATAGAATTAACTCCTTTCATAATGAGTAGGTAAAACTAAATACAGTCAATAAAAGTCATGTGTCAGAAAAATCTGCATTATATTTTTACAAAAGATCATATAAAAAAACGCTAAATAACCCGCAAAATGTTTGCTAAGTCTGTCAAAAGGATAATAGAAATATACTTCAATCTTAGTTTCTTTCACAAAACTAAAGGTTATTAAATGTTTATAAACATAGAAACTCGTAGTTATTTTTTATTGTCACAGCACTGACTCTTGCGCAGTGCTGCCAACATCGGGTCCATATCAGAGAATTCGGAATAATGATGCTTTCATAATAATAATAAGTAAAATTTTAGTGGACAAACTTAAGTTTTTTTACTGAGGTCAAACCGAAGAGGATAATGGTGCCAATTCTGGCGTGATTCTCTAAACTTAAATCTAAATTTAACATCAGTCTCTCCTTTTCATTCTGTATAGAGAATGACAAGGATATACTGCTGTCAAATTTAAGTTTAGGTTTAGAGAATCATGCTAGAATCGACACCATTATCACTACGTGGTCAAACTCTATTACCAATTCGATGTTTCTTTAAAACATCGATGCATCGAGTATATTGAAAGCTATTCAAAACATCGGATCGTATCGATGTTTTTCATTGCAAACATCGATGTTTTCGATGCATCGATGTATATCGAATATCCCTAGGCATGTCCGCGGCTGCCCGCCGTGGATCATACAAACCAGTTTATAAGCAGTAACGCAGACGGCGGCGCGCGGCGGTTAGCTCAGTCCGCGCCACGCGCTTTTTAGTGATGGACTATTCATTAGAACAAACGTCCTGAACTGACTGCCTCTGCCCGTCGTGTGCTTTGTGTACACGGCGCGGGCAGCCGCAGACATCGACGGGCAGACGCGGTTTTTACTCCAGGTGCTGGAATGATCTTCCTCCTCCGATGCGAGATCTGAAATCCAAACAATCATTGAAGACTACCTTAAAACGTCAATTTGCTGAATTTGCAATGTACGCATTAATTTAAAGATACTCACCCAATTTTCAATCTCGACAGTAAGTTAAGGGGATTAGATTCGGTACCTGGAGGCAAACTTATTCGGGTGATAGGCGGCCGCGGGGGTTCTTCATGGTAATCGTGTGATTTCGGTGCACGTTTCTGACGAGATTCTATGGCTGCTTCCCTTTTCCATCCAAGTTGCTGAGCAATTACTGAGTTTGTACACTCAATTTCACTGTTTTTGTGCGGTATGTGTGATGACAGCAGTGTTGCCAACTCGGATTTTGAAAAAGGCGTAGGCCCGATGACAAAATTACGTAGAATTAGTAAAAATTGCATATGAAAAGTTCGTAGATCTACGTATTTTTTTTTTTGAGAGAAGCTAGTTCGTTAAAACGAGTATTTTGTTATACAATTTATTTAAAAAAAGGAGATAGAACATAGAATTCTTGGAGAAGACTCTACATTGGCAGCATTTACCATGCTGTGGTAGACATTTACCATCAGACACAGACGCTGCTAGGTGTCAATTTGACATAATTCTCTAAACTTAGCACTAAATTTAACATCAGTCTCTCCTTTTCATTCTGTATAAAGAATGACAAGAATACACTGTTGTCAAATAGGCTAGTTGACCCTTTGAAAATATGTTTTAAAATGGTTAATAATTGTTATATTAGACCGAAAAAATGTATTGTAGTAATTATCATGATTGTATTATGCGAGAATGTAGAAACACAACGTTAAAGACTCCAGAAAAGTTGTAATTTAAATTGCCCAGAGAAATAAACATATCTACACATGAACACATGTTTAAAACTTGCTAAATCCTGTAACTTTATCGACTGAAAGTCATTTCTTTTTGCATAGATCACTTCGGTGTAAGTACTGATTCATTTTTTTTTTAAGTTTATTAATGTACCTACTAAGTAAGAGAGCTTTGTCGTTTCTGCTTTTACAAATTCGGCGTCCAGCATTAATTTAGACAACAAAACCAATAAACGGAAACTCTTCTACAAGATATAAGAGTCTTTAGATATATTTTAGTCCGACGAAAGAAACCATAGTAACACAACAATGACGTTTAGTTGTTTATAAATTTTGTGACGTCATTCTGAATTTATGAAGTGAAATCGATGTATTTCAGTTCCTCATACCAAAAACTATAAGAAATAAACATTTGTATAGTTAACGGAAAATATGCTTCCCTATTCTACTGAGTTATGTTATTTTGCAAATTTGTACAAATTAAAAGAAAATACGTAGATTTTGGGACTGAAGTTAGTAGGTTAGCAGAAAAGGCCTAAAATACGTAGATCTACGTAAAAAGACGTAGAGTTGGCAACACTGGATGACAGTAACATTAATTATCAAGTGACAGCCACAGATCACGGAGCGCAGATTACAGAAAATGTAATCTTTCGCACCTTGTGCCGGCACGTCATGCGGCTAATCGTGTTTGCTATTTGGTAGATGTGTCTCCACAACGGGCAGTGAGAGGAAGGGACTGCTATCGAGGCAGATGCGATTGGCCATGTGAAGTTCCGGCATAACAGGCCCTGCCAGAATACCAGCGCTGCTGTGACACGTTTTGTAGCGTGTTGCGGCAGCATTACGCTGAGGCAGGGTCCTGATTGACCACAAATGGTGTATTTTTTTCTTTTCTTTTCTCTATTGTAAATTTTCATATTTTTTTTTTGTATGTTGTTTTGTAAATTTATTAATGTGGTCAATAACAATGATTCTCTCTCTCTCTTATTGCTTCTCGCCCGCCCCGCCCCGTCGTCTGCAAAACGCCTTAAACGAAGCCGGCTCCATGTTTACAAACATTGCAATAAAAAAAGGCGCAAACATTCTACGTCAGTACTTAAAATTACAGATTGTAGTTGTTAGGAATCCACCGCAGAGTCAGTCTAACACGAATCAAATAGCCTAAGTGTCAATGACTCAAAAAATTCTCGTGTACTATATACCATCGCAAAGGCGCAAGAATACTATAATTTCTTTTTGGTATATCTGTACTGAAATAATATTTTTATTTTATTACCTTTTCCCGTCACTCACGTTCTCACGAATGCGCGAACCAGGACCTGTGGGACGGCATTCGCGAATAACTTCGCGAAGTTTGATCTACATTCGTACTTTTCCAAGTGGTGTCAGTTTTTTGACGCACATCAAAGTGCAAAATCATTCGCTTAGTCTCCCACACATACGCGCACCCGGTTGCCAAGTTGACGTCATTAAGAAATAAAATTATTTTAGTGTCCTTTATTCTGTCGAGTTGCCACCACGACCACCACAACTGGCAAAGACAGATTGGCTATGACATAAGCTGCATGCAGAGAGCGCAGGATCGTCTTTATCAACCCATGCTCGTCCACTGCTGTATATAGAAATTCCTTGAGGAGGCTTATGTCCAGCAGTGGACGTCCATCGCTTGATGATGATGATGATGATGACGTATTAAGCTTGTGTCACCCGCGTGACCTTTTGTCACTGGGAGTGCCATACCTTCCATCATATACTACCATGCAACTGACAATAGGTTGCTGGCAGGCCTGTCACGCCTTCGTTCTTGGGCCATGATTGTATTTTTTTTGTGTAATACTATCATTTTGACTTCCTTAAACAGTAATTTCCAAAGAGCCTGGTTCCAACCCTGCCTGTGTTCATACAAGGGCTGCCAACCGTATTATAATAAAAAGTATTGTACTCTAAACTGTTGAAGAAACACAAAGGTACTTTTCCAATAACAGCACTACAGCGCATTATGCGGCATAATGCTTAACGTTGAATGTTTCAACTACAACAACGCTTCGCACAATCGAGCACTCTCAAAAGTAATGTTTTCGTGTGATGCGTGCAACTTAGATTAAAGCAAAAAGGGGTGCAATCGATAAAAACTCAGTGACAGAAAACTAACAAGTGTTTTTTCTTTAAGTTGGCATTGATCGAAATGTTTTTATTTGGCATATAATGACGCAGGCAATCTTAAATGTTTTCGTGGAAAAGAACTTATATGTCAAGACTAGCTGACCCAGCGAACTTCGTACCGCCATCGCCATAAAAAAATTGGGGTTGGTGGTAGAAAGTTAATAATTTAGGGATGTGTATTTTTGTATGATGTATCATAAAAAAATTAAAAAAAAAATATCTAATATTGAAAAAAAAATTTTGGGGTGGATTACACTTAACATTTAAAGGGATGAAAAATAGATGTTGTCCGATTCTCAGACCTACCCAATATGCACACAAAATTTCATGAGAATCGGGATAGCCGTTTCGGAGAAGTTTAACCACAAACACCGCGACACGAGAATTTTATTTAATAGATGAAGAAGTTGTCTTCTTGTTGTCACAATCATATTTGTTACACTGAACTTAACTTGAACTTGCACTTGAAAACTAATTCACATTCCATTGTGCACCACTGACTCGTATTATGCTCTGTAATTGGAAAACTACCATAGTATGCAAAAATACTATATTTTCAACAACGAAACCTCATGAAATCTACCAAAAAAAATTTTGGAACATGTATGTAGAGTCTGGCACACGAAACATGAGCTTGGAAAAGGCGGCAAATTCAAAAAATCTAGCTGTGGTATCATTGCGTATAGAAGGTAAAATACATTTTGATACTTGAAATATTCTTATATTTTGTATTTAGGTAGTCTGTGATTTTATGGGCGAGTGATGAAAAGGACTGCAGTAAGAAGGCGCGATTGGCTATTCATTGTGGAGTGTTGGTGCCGACAATCGTGTATGGAAGTGAATCTTGGGTGCGGCAGAAGAATAAGATCAGGAAAAATACTGTCGATGCATTCTCTGCTTATGATATGTGGAGTGAAATTGAGTGATAGAGTGAGGAATATGATGTGATTCGTGAAAGGTGGTCTGAAACATGGCATTGTGACATGTATTGAGAAAGGAATGCTCCGGTGCTTTGGTCACCTATATAAAGTCTGTTCATCCTTGTTCTCTCCTTGTTGTTTAGTAAACAATCTTCGCACAACTTTTTAACGAAATCATTCATAGAAATATAAAACGAATAACAAAGCCAACAATCTTTAATAATAAATCGTTATTACACACTGAAACCTTTTACATCTAGTTATCAGTTGATTTTATATGCTACTATTCAATAAAAAGGAGTACCAAGATGGTTTACTAAATAGGACAAATTTAGAGAGGATGAACAGAGTTAAGAGAGGATGAATGAAACTTAAATTATGAGACAGATATAGGCATTGAGTGAATGTGTTTATTAAAAAACCTGGCGACTGATGGTTGTGAATGAAACGAACAAAAAGAAAGTCTCTGCTTACCCTCATGGGAAAGAGACGTATGTAATTGAGCGAGGATGTGTGTTATTGAATTATAAGGAGAAATAATTAAACATTCTTCTAATTCTAACATTATTTATTGTGATTCATAATCAACAGAGTCCAAAAAATCCATTTTAAAAGATTCGTCACTGTCACTATCAGTTTCTCTTTTTATAATAAAACTTTCCAGTTCTGTTTCAAGAATGTTATCTTTTTCAATGTAATTATTTAAGATTTTTACGACGTGTTCTATGCCATTTTTCCATTCTTCAACTGTGACAATGGTGCCAATTCTGGCGTGATTCTCTAAACTTAAATCTAAATTTAACATCAGTCTCTCCTTTTCATTCTGTATAGAGAATAACAAGGATACACTGTTGTCAAATTTAAGTTTAGGTTTAGAGAATCATGTCAGAATTGATACCACTTTCAAACGCATCCTTTATGATTTTTTCCATATTAACAGGTGTGACACCTATATTTTTACCTGCAACCCTTCTCTTCACCAAACTCCATATCATTTCTATTGCGTTTAGGTCACAATGATAAGGCGGTAATCTCAACGCTTCATGACCGTGATGTTTTAAAATTTCATCTACTTCGTATATTGGATCCGGTTTATTTTTTTTTACTAAGCAAAGTATATAAGCTCATCTTTCGTTAGAAAGTCTTCAAATGGCACACCTTGAGTATATCTCAGCCAGTCTTGGATGTCAGTTTTTCGGGTTTGTGTGGTAGGGGCTTTATTTATTTGACATGTGTGGTAACTTGCATTATCCATCCTTAATAATGCTGGGTTGTTCCAAATTGGGAATTAATTTTTCACACAACCCTTTTTTAAAATTTACGGCATTCATGTCGTGATGGTAATCTGCCATCACGGACTTCGTACTATAGCTCAAAAGAGCATTAGGCACAAACCCTTCCATTGAGCCAGTATGGACAATAATATGTCTCTTTCCAGTTGATATTTTATCAACAAGACCACTTGTTGACGGACCTTGCCAAGACTTTTTAGGTTTGTAGTTCTGATGTACATAGGTTTCATCTAGGTAGACAATATGTTTATTTTCTTGCCTAGCTTGGCACATTTTTCTTCAATATCTATTACGCCAAGCTACAATTTCATATCTTTCTATGAGTAGTGATCGTTCATTGGAATTATTTTTGAATTCAAAGATATTATTATGCAAAATTCGTCTTAAAGTCTCCCTACTACCAGTAAATCAAATTGCATCTCTTAACTTTGAAAGCAAGTTTCTAATAGTAGGTACTTGTTTTTTACAGTATAAAATTCATTTTTTTATTTCTGATTGCACATATATCAAAGTTGGCTAGATTTGACACTGAATTTGCATGGGGTCTTTTCTTTCCAGATGTAGACCAAATATTGTTGTTTCTTCTTTTTTTTACGTTTTATTGTTGCAAGACTAATATCTGGAAAAAACCACACAATATTAAATACAATAATGAGTTATATTTACATATTTAGGTATTGAAACTAACCAATCATACATTCAAAATATTTAGATACACAAGAAACAGTGGGTGGACGTTGCATGATTTTGGTTGGTGTTAAGATCACGTACAAAGTAACAAGAAATCTTATTATCAAAACACAGATGTTCATTATAAAGTAATCAATTAGTAAGTAATTGTTATGGTACCAAATAAAGACTTTTCTTTTTTTCTTTCTTTCAATATATGTGTGTATGTAGGTTGGTAGTTACATAAACATAGGAAGAAAATTTCTTCTTCTCTAATAAATTGTTAAGGTATCTATCTACCTGTCATTGCTGATATTTCGTTCATGTACTTTGTTGCTGTAATCCGTTCTGAGTTGTGTATATCTTTAATTTTTTTGACAGACTTTAATAGGATTCTTATATTAATGGTTCAAAATAATTTCGAAGCAAAAAAAGCAAACCCGTTTTATCGTAATGACAATTCATGTACACTAACATTGTCATCTACTTTGTTGTGACCATATGAAGAATGTTTAAAAATTGGCTGGCTCATGTTTCGTGTGCCAGACTCTACAACTACTCTTGTACGTACCTTTTCGTTATCTTTTGACTGATGTACAGTTTGTCTATAAAGTCGTGACATTAAATGATGGCGCCACTAGCATGCATGTAGCAACCCTATACAGTCTGACCACAATGATTTTGACTCTGCAGTTCGTTCAAGTAAAATAGGTAATTAATAAGACACACTATACAGTCGTATTTTGTTTCTGTTTTATATATAGAAGTTACCTATGCTTATAATACCTCGTTTAGACTATGCCAATGCCGCTGCCCCTCGCGTTGCCGGCAATAATTCCCTAAATATTGCAGCGGCATGATTGAGAGAAGTATGTGTTTACATAGCGGTGGGCGTTTAAACGATAAGCGCTTAATTAAGCGCGCTTAAAATATTAAGCTTGTAAGCACGCTTTTAAGTATAAGCGTTATAAGCTTTTCACTTAAAAAAGTGCAAGTATATTTTTTACTTAAAGACTGCAAATCCCGCCATCTATGTCTTTGCCAGGAAACTACATACTTCGATCCTTCTAGTCCACTACAGTATCGAAAAATGGGTACGCGGAATTCCTTGGAACTAAATATTTCACAGCATCACAGCCATAGAACGCGCGACTACAGCGCCGCGTCGGCGTGCCATCTTTCGTGAGCCGGTTAATACAGCATGCGAATTATTATAATGCGACGTAAAAAAATGCACTTTTTTAAAATTTGGTCGGATAACCAACGCTTTTTTCGTTAAAAGCGTTTAATTAAACGAAGTCGAAAAGCAGTACGCTTGTCACTGTGACGCGGTAAGAGCGCGTGGGTGTTGTGCGGTGTATTTGCATGCTTGCTTGTATTAATGCGTTTCGTGTATTGGTTGAATGTGCATATAAAATAGTTAAAAGTATGTATATAAAATCAATGAACTTTTAAGTACGCCTGGATCACGAGTATATTAACTCCAGACAGTCCTAAGCTTGTAAAGTACGAAGGAAAGTTCATTGACTATTATAAAATCTAAATTCAATTGTAAATCTTTCGTTTTTAATGCCAATCAATTCATTAGGTTTAAAAAAACTTTTTGATAAAAATTTCATTAATAAGAAGAAAAAACGCAATAAAACATTTAAACACATTAAAAACGACAATAAACTTTTCACGCTTTTTTAAACGATATACCTAAACGAAAACACAACACAACGTCGCGCTTTTTACGCATGCTTTTGAACGTTTAAGCCAATAAGCGTTTAAACGACAATCTTTTTTTCAAGCGCGCTTATTTTAAAAAGTACAACGTTTAAACGCTTTTAAGAAATAAGCCGTTTTTTCCATCTCTCTCTCAGCTTCAGAGTTTCGGCAATGGCAGACGTCGAAGTAATAACAGCGGCCGCGCTGTGTCGTATTGCAATCCATAATTATGTTCGAGATTAAATTATTAATAATTTTAATATGAATAATTTTTAATTTCACATCTTTCTCCACCAAGCGCGTGGCGCGAACTAAGCGACGCGCAGAGTGTGAACACGCATTGCCACTCGCGCTGCCGGTCCTTTGACTTCCGCACAAAAAACCACTCTTTTGAGGAGCGCCGGGCAGCGCGAGTGGCAATGGCAACGGCAGTGGCATGGCATGACGAGTATCGTGTTTACATACTCGTCATGCCCACTTCCCTCCTTACTCGCGCTGCATGTAAACGAGGTATTAAAAGTTTAGCCAAGCATATTTAATTGAATCAGAATAAAATTATTATAGATAAAATAGTACTTTATAGTGTAAAAGTATTTAATGTTGGTGATTACCGCTGCGGTGCCATTGAGACCAGAGCCGTAAGGTAATCATCAATACACACAAGTATCATCATACGACGTTTTTTAACACACTTCTTAAGAAAATAATACTAAAAATCATTTTATAGTATATAAAAAGTTTATTTAGAGAAACAATTTGTAAATGTGCAGTTAGTAAAATTAGTGATAGATATCTTCACTATAAGCATCTGGCCATGGTTCTTTATGTGACCATTTCTTCCTTTGGTCGGCCTTGCCTGTTTTCCCAGGAGTTTCAAACTTTCCATCATTCTTAAAACCTTCGTTGACTATCCGACTCTGAATTTCCTGAAAAAAAGTAAAAAAATATTTAACGGTATAGAAACAATAACTTATTGACATGAAGCAATTAATTCAAAATTGGTAGAAAACCTGACCGAGTTGAACCATAATAATGTATCAAAAGAAATGGTCGTACTACAATATTACCTATTTACAATGTCAATGTAACCTAAAAATGTGCAATGTAAACAATGCCTATTTGGTCTCAAAATCGTAAATTGAGTAAATTTGTGACTTCAGGCAGATTAACAACATTTAACAACCCGACATAGATGCTGTTCGCCCATAAACATCATCCAAATCCCACAAAATTCGTCCAGCTTGGTAGTCTTCGAAACATCGCTGGAAAACTTTAAAAATCACTTCCCGCGTGCCAATTCGATTTACTTTACTCATTTTTATACCTTTCGGCGTAGTTTCGTCTTAATTTATTACAGTTTAATCCAAACATTAAAAAACACAAAAGGAAAACTGTTCCACAACTGAAACTCGATGACAGCTGATGTACATAAATTTGGTGTTGCCAGACACATGAATAATGTTAGCTCCTCAAACATTCATGTCACGACTTTATAGACAAACTGTACGCGTGGAGTTAGTTATTTGCACATACTGGTGGTTTTCCAATTACAGAGCATAATGCGACTCAGTGTCGCACAATGCTGAATTATGCTGATGCTTAATTGTAACGTGAATTAGTTTTCAAATGTACCAGCAGAGTGCGCTAAGTTCAGTGTTGAAAAAAAAAGTCAATGTTTGTGCCTTCATCCATATTTATATTTAATTTTTAACACAGTTTGAATTAACTTTGGTTATTTAAAAGAAACTATAATGAAACGAAAGTTATAATAATTTTTCAACAATAAATAATATTACTAACGATAACATATAAATAAAACATTTCGATCAATGCCAATTTAAAGAAAAAACACTTGTTAATTTTCTGTCTCTGAGTTGGTAGGATTGCACACATCACACGAAAGCATTACTTTTGAGAGTGCTCGATTGTGCGAAGCGTTGCTGTAGTTGAAACACTCAACGTTAAGCATTATGCCGCATAATGCGCTATAATGCTGTAATTGGAAAGCTATCACTTTTTCACCCCAAAAGGGTGTTTATTTCTAAAGACACATTATTAGTACACCTATGACTTTTAAAAACAACTATTGACCTGGCCCACATGATTAAATTTATATTATTTATATCCAAAAAGTGCTTACGAATGTAATTCGACTTTATGTTTTTGAAATCTCATAGATGGTGCGCTGCTTTAAAATGGTCTATTATGTTTATCGGTCTAAGTTACTTATAGTGTGAAGCTAGCTAATAGCATGGATCGTGGAAATTAAGCAACTTTCGCAGTGGTCGGTTATTAGATGGGTGATCAAAATTATTCATACTTGACTCGAGTTGCACCCAAGGTGTAACAAAGGTAAAACAAAATGTATGGAACTTAAGTCAAATGTGACATTTGCTGCAACTGGAGCGTAGGTTTTGAACGCAGCCGCGCGTAGATGACGGGTGTATTCCGAAATTTACATCAGTATACTGGCCAGTGGTAATGACGTCACGAATCCGACGCCATCTTGTACTGGTATGCTACCATAATTTTACTGGGAAAACGAATATGACATATGACCGAGCGTGCGTGAGATTCGTGCATTCGAATTTTATTTCTTTTTTATTTATGGAATAATAATGGCATCCGAACAAAAAGAATTCCTTTTAATTGATGAGGTGAATAGAAAATGTTTATTCGCACTCTTTTCAATATTTCGACGATTTATGACGTCAGTGTACTGGCCAATATATTTCGGAACAATTCACCAGCGGGTCAATTATGCTTTAGTGATATAATCATAATGTGATTTCAATAAGATGTTGATGCCAACTTGACATTGTTTTTAAATTGGTATTATGGAACATTCCTATGTCACATCAAGATCATATCAATATCATATCCTGTATCACATTTTTGACGTTTATGCGATACTGTTTTAAGTCAAAAAGTTGAACGTAATACGCATTTAAGTTGATATCATTTTAAAGAGTTGATCATAATAGGTACGCATAAGTTGATGTCATTTTGATATCGCATTTTTCGGAGAGCATAATACGTAATGTGAAATTGACATCAAAACAATATCACAATTAGCGAGCATAATTGGCCTGCTGTATAGCGTCGATTCATGACGACATTAGCACTGGCCAGTATACTGGTATGTATTACGGAATACACCCGACATCTCGTGTCAAATTCATTCACCAGCCAAAATACGAAATCGTAGTTAGGTTATCAACCACATAATAGTGCTATTTCAAATACTTATCCAATTCTATTGAAAAAGGACGGACCTATGTAACGTAATCCATCAAAAAAACATTTTATTTAAGATATTTTCTGTGATACTTCTCTTTACAAAACACTCAAGAATGTCAGAAAATATTGAAGACGATTTGAAGGAGAAGATTTTAAATTTGGCTAAAAAGAATCCTAAAGGTATCACTGATAAAGATATCACTGTAGCTATACCAGAGCTCACATCATCTGAACTTGTTACTGCTATTAACAAACTTCTACAACAGGGCTGTTTTGACTTGTATAATCAAGGAGGTTCACTTATATACAGGTGATTTATATTAGTCAATATTTTTTATTTTAAATTTATTGTATACAAATAATTTTCGATACAAAACCATTTGTAGATTAAAAACTCAAGCAAACAAACAAGCAGTAAAAGGAGCAGATAATGAAGAAAAAGTAGTTTTTAATCTAATTGAAGAAGCGGGCAATAAAGGCATATGGATTCGGGATATAAGGATTCGCTCTAACCTTGCTAACACACAACTTACTAAAGTTTTGAAAAGTCTTGAGAGTAAGAAGTTAATCAAAGCTGTTAAATGTGTTAATGTAAGTAGGCAACTTTTTTTCAATGAATACTTTACTTTTAAGGTATGTCTACTCGGGATTTAAATATCTAAAATGTTGCATAATAAGCATTTTAATGTGGGCTTCAAGTAATTTTTTGCTACTAATGGACAGACAAGTAGGAGGAAATTATTGACTCTATGTAATCTCCATTTGTAAAAAATTTCAGGCATCCAAAAAGAAAGTGTACATGTTATACAACTTGGAACCAGATCGCTCAATATCTGGTGGAGCATGGTATCAAGATCAAGATTTTGAATCTGAGTTTGTGGATATTTTAAACCGTCAATGTCTTAGATTCCTGCAACAAAGAGCTGATAAAATAAAGAATAACCCTCGAGGCCCTATAATAGGACGAACTCAATCATATGCAACTGCTTCTGAAGTACAAAAGTATATAACAGATCTCGGAATAAGTAATGTAGGTATCAAGCAGCTAAAAATCTTGTCACAAATACTTTAGATTACCTTTTTATATGATCTTATTGTTTTAGGTGAAACTGGAAGTTGAGGATGTAATCACTATATTGAATACTTTAGTCTATGATGGTAAAGCTGAAAGTAGTGTGTATCCTGATGGAAACAGAGTCTACCGTGCTATAGAGTCCCTTATACCTCCTCCAGGACTAGTACAAGTCCCATGTGGCATTTGCCCTTTAGTACTCAAGTGCTGCTCTACTGGACTTGTAACACCACAAGAATGTACATATATGACTGAATGGCTAGAATAGGTTTAATATTATTATATTATTTATAATCATACATTATATCTACTGAAACTATGTAATATTTGATAATAAAAAGCACATATTGTGTAATAATATTTTAATAACTGATTTTACTTTTAAACAATCATAACAAAACACTAAACAACCTGAATTCCCTACTTCCTACAGTCAGAATAATAAATATGTATATGTACTATATACATTTTTTGTTAGATTTACAAGTACTTAATTCTGCTAATAAGGTACATACACATTGAAAATGCATTATATGCATTACTTTAAGCATTGAAAGTTGCATGAATTCTAGAATATTTGCTATCAACATTTTAAAACAAGCTTTTAAAATTGTTTTCAATGTTGTATAAAGTTTGTGATAGAAAGGCAGATTCACGCCTATTATGAAACTGAGCTTTATCTTGTGTTTCCTGAATATTTTCACTGGTATCATCAGGAAATAATGAGCTGAACACATCCATTTGAATGTAGTTTAGAGACTGCAGAATTAATCCCTTATTAGGGTATGGTGTGTTTGACAACATAGTATTATCACATGGGGTTAAATTATTGTTAATGTTCTCCAACTTAGGCCCTGTTGAAGGTGCCTGAGGAGTCTCCTTAGAAGATTCACTAGTAGGATTTGTATTCGATTTTTTACCACCTGTAAAGAAATAAATCTATTAGTTGCATACATCATAAATATGAAATATATAAATACCTGTTATAACATACTTAAAGAATGGAAAAGTCTTTCCATTTCTCTTAGTTGTGTTTGCTGCTGCTGAACAGTGAAATACAAATCTCTAATTGTGCTAGTAATATGTTCCATTTCTTCAGCTTTCTTAGCTTCTTTCACAGCTTCTTTTTTACTCTGTCTGAAAAATTAACAATTGAATCATCCATCCTCACCTATTATTATCATTATTTGGTACCTTACCTGCCTTACCTGTTATATTCAATAACAAGTAAACTAGCACCAATAACGAAAATAACAGTTTCACCAAGAAGATTAGCTCCAAGTTCTATAGCCATTTCTTGACTGAGGACAGGAATATTTACTGGTTTTCCCAAGTTTAAGATCCACATTTTTGCCTTCACCTCACACCAATTGTAAACTGAAATAATAAATCAATAATGTAAAATGGGCATTTTAGTTATTCTTTGTATACAATAAATAAGTTCAACATTACTTACACTGAGCTGGAGGCATACAAACGTACGTCCTGAAGAATGGACTATTTTTGGCTCTCTCTTTGCATATATTTGCTATAGGTTTACTTATTTGTTTTATAAGTAAAACAGACAATTTAGCAATTGGATACGCGCCCACGACCATTTTTTGTTCGGTCAATACTTTGAGATCAGTCAATATATTTTTAAAATTATATACTATGTTAAAAATTTGTAATCAAACTGGAAATTTACAATACAAAAGAATGTAAATGTACCATTTGTACATGACAGATGTACCTTTTTTTAGTTCAATTCTACACTATTGGGGAAGGCAAAGGCAAAGCGATGCAGCCATCGTCTTATTTTTATATTAATCTACCTTTTTTTTACATTAGAATGTAGGCATGCGCTTTCTAATGTTTCTTGGAGTAATTTCCTTATTTATTATACCAAATAACCTCACTGCTTGCTCTGATGGGTAGGTCAATTTCTTTGTTTTAATACTTTTATATTCTCTTATAGAAATCCAACTATTTAATGAATGTTTATCTACATTAGATTCTTTTGATGTCAAGTTGTTTTCACAATCCATGCATTCTATGTTATTTAATACTAGCGGCAGCCCGCAACTTCGTCTACGTTAACTTTAGTTTTTTTCAATCTCTCGAGAACCAGGATCGGTGAAATTATAAGATACCTATCAATCAAAAGTATGATATAAGCACTGGAAATCAATTTCTAATTGAAGTTGTTGAGACACACCCGTCAGCAATAGGCGATATCAGCCTTTGTGATATTGATTTGTTGGTGGGAGAAGTGGTGGGAGGCGCCAGACGCGACGTGACGGCACAGTAGTGGCATGCGCGTGAGCTGCCCGCTGTACTCTTGCAGGCTTTTCAGAGGCCATAAAAATGTGCCCTGGTCACATATTAGAGCTAATGGTATTAGCCCAGCAAATGACACTGCTGTTACTACTTAAATGTTTTATTATTTTCTTCAGTTGGTATGTTCAAGTTGTGTACAGCACCTCTCAACATAAAGATCAGGGCATGATCTGCATATTCATTAATTCTTTCATTTTAATGGACAAAGCCATTAATGACATCCTTTTGTCTATTATAATTGGTCCCTGAGTCTCAAGCCACCTCATCAAACAATATAGAGCAAGATTTTCTTTTCTCTTTCCAAGTCTATATTTTTGTTGCAATCATTATGTACAAATAACTCACGTATGTAATATTTAAATCTTTAAACCACCTTCCGAACTTATTTAATATGTCGCTATTTGTATTGTATCTGTTTAAATCCCACATTGAACACGATTTACGGTTCTCAAATTTTAGTTTTAATTTGTCAAACGGTACGTTTCATAATCATTCTTAAGTAGATATTATATCGTATGTTCCCGTTTTGCTTAATCTAAGTATATATAATTTGGAAGAGCTCGATGTTAGCGCGTGTGGTTAGCGCGTTCGGCTGCGATCGTTGAAGTTAAGCAACTTTAGCAGTGGTCGATTATTGGATGGGTGACAAAAATTATACCTACTTATTTGAGTTCCACCGTGCTTCGGAAATAGTGTTGCCAGGTGTCCCGATTTTCAGAGGTCTGGGGACGTGTCCCGATTTGTACCTGATCAATTGATCGAAATCGATGAATTGATGAATCAAAAAATTAAATTTCCTACTAGTTTAAAACGCAATAAATTAAACCCAGACATAAAAACCTTGTCTTTTGTTTACTGTCCCGATCTGCAACCCTAAATCCCGATTCTTTTGACCTCATGTACCGATTTAAAACAAATCGGAGCTGGCAACACTATTCGGAAGGCACGAAGCCGTTGTTCACGGCTGCAACTCCAGTCGTTAGCATAAATAGGACTTCAATCCGATCATCAAATGGCCATATTGTTTATTGGAAGCATCCAAGGGCGGATCCAGAGGGGGGGTCACGGGGTCATGACCCCCCCCTGGGCTGGGTCCATCTATACCCACATCACAATCTGTACTACACAATCTGTACCCACTGTGACTTGACCACGACTATATGACCCCCCCCCCCCCCCCCCCTGGAGCCAAGGCTGGATCCGCCCTTGGAAGCATCGCAAGTGTTCTCATGCATAAATGCAAGTTACTGCCAATGACTACCATGTTAAATTTTTTTAGATAAGTTGTCCGTTTAAATAAAAATAAACACATTTTTGATTGCATTTAAATCAATATACCAACTGCAATCAAACATGAATGCTTATTTAACTCTCAAACTGTACGTTCTTGTTCTTATAAATGGTTACCAGGATAATGTGAAAACTACCATTTCTATATTTTTATTAACATTGACAATTGCAAGAGAGGGACAAATACCACTTTTGTCATTGTCCTGCTCGGAGTATTTTTTACTCTTAGGGTGCTTACATAAAGAAACAGGTTTCCGGCACAGACAAATCTGTGCAGGTCGGTACCAACCGGTGCAGGGTCAACTTACATAAAGAAACAGGTCAATCTGTCCTTATTGACAACCATGGGCTCCACTTCATCGGATGACGATTTTTTCCTTCTGGAAAATGTGTATTTAAAATGTAGAAAGAAAAGAACACTCAGTGTCTCTAATATTAACAGGAGAAGAAAACAATATGGATCATATTATCATTTATTTGAAAAAGATATAAAGTTCGATGAACACAAGTTTCATGATTACACAAGAATGACACAAGAAACGTTTAACTACATATTAAATAAAATCGAACATCGTTTAATTAAGAGATGGTGTAACTGGCATGTTCAACCCATTTCACCCGAAGAAAGACTACTAGTCACCATCAGGTAAGTAATTATTTTCATTATTTTTTTATATGTAGCTTTTCAAACTCCATCAACATTTCAACTTATACCCTCTTATTATAAAACGTGGTTTAAAAATAGTACCGGGTTTAGTACTAGGATTAAAATAGTAAAATTTTTATTTATTTATTAGCTCACAAAATAAGTTACAATTAAAAAAACAAAGCAATTACAATAATAGAAAACCAAACTGTAACTCTAAATATGTGGGCATAACATGATTAAATTTTATGGGCTGAAGTTTACACTAAAGAAAAATATATAAATCGAATTTCAACAATTAAACAACAAAAAAATCACTTAAATAAAAGTAAAAATTAACCGATTTTTCTTTAACGAAGTATTAATCGATGGATTTCTTTCCGAAATTCAAGAAGCCGACTACAAAAAATGACCAAGGAAGAATGATCCCTATGCAGGTTATCGTATTGACGACACATATTTGTGATTGGATTATAAAAGGACGTGTTGTTTTTATAAACCTGCAGAGCAAATACCCTATGGGTGGGATTACGCGATCTAAATCTAATATTAAAACTAAGCGTTGCGTTGAGGTAAGAAACGGTGAGTCGAGGAGTGAGTGTACAATTTTATATAGGTAAATTAACTGGTGATATTTGCACCGGGATTCTAGGGAACAAATTTTGAACCTTTCTAATTTCATCTCGTAAGATTTATATTTTCGACCTAAATTAAGCCTGAAACTGAGAATATTGAGAATCTTTCTTTGAACTCCTTTAATACGCTCAGCGTGTACATTGTAATGAGGAGACCAAACGACTGAGGCATATTCTAATTTGCTTCTCACTAATGAGAAGTATAGGTATAGCAGAGTTGACTGATTGGTGAATTCCTTAGTGCAACGTGAAAGAAAACCAAGGAGTTGATGGCAATGAGAAATCAAATAGTCGTAGTGTGGACGAAACGTAAGACCCTCATCAAGTACAAGACGAGAGATGTCCCTGCATACTTACAAGCTGACTCCTTTTATCCAGATAAGATGCCAGCCATCTTAACAGGTTGCCATGCACTCCATAGCTCTCTAACTTCTGACAAAGTAACCCGTGACAAACCTTATCAAAAGCCTTCGAAAAGTCAAAATAAAATATTGAAAAACCAAGTCTAACGCTAATTCACGAAAAATCTATGGTACTAAAGTTAGTCCTATAATTCTTTGGAACCCCCTGACTGTAGGTGTTAAACTCAAAAAGTCGTAAATCAGTTTTTAGAAATTTAGTTAGTACCGTACTAATTTTAATCCTCGTTTTATAAAGACCGATAATTTTAGTTAAAATATTGATTTTTAGCATACTCCGATTTTTAGTTTTAAAGTATAACAGCTCACAAACTACTTAACCGATTTTAATGAAACATAGCTTATAAACATCTCGATTAAATCATCTTTAAAAATAAAAAAGCGCATTGTTATCGGTTCATCCGTTTGGGAGCTATTATGCCACAACGGATGTACATACGGTTGACATATAGTCCATTTCATCAAATATGTCCTATGGCGTCATGTTGGCAACACATTTCACGTTTCGTCTTTATTTCTATGACGCTAAGGTTTCTTTTGCATTATCTCTTTTTGATCTGAAAATAATAATCAAATTGGAAATTTCACAGTTGGTATCTACTATAAAATTCTGCAAGAGATTGCTCATTCTGCTCAGACTGAGTAGATTCATTACATTCTTCTGTAGCTACCTGGTTGCTTGTAGATTGATTATATTGTGCAAGATTCAATTGGTCGCAGGTTTCTGGAGTACTCAGACGAGATACTTCACTTAAATGAGAATTTGTCATCGAGGTAGATCGATTATCAGATTGAAAATATGGGTACGCAAACTCGTCAACGACACTTTGAATGCGGTTTCTAAAAGAAAGTAACATATGCTGAGGTATTTTGTCATTGTGTGGTAACAAGCTTTTAAAAAATAAGATATGTTCATTGTCTGCATCTGTTCGATTCTGTCGGGATTTTTCCTTTTCTTGTAAAAACTTCAGTTTTTGATGTTCAATGTCCAAAATTTGGTTGTTGAGTGTTTTTATATGTCTTTTTGAAGCGGTTTGAAAAGTAGACATAGCAGGAGACACTGGTGGTTGGTCACTGGCATCACCATCTTCCGTGTTCCTTGGTGAAGGAGAAGTAGAAAAATCAATATTATTCGTACTTTGAGAGCCTTCCATTTCAGCATCTGGGTTCACATCACCCGATGGAGGTCTTCGGCGCGTCAAATTTCCAGTGCTTGTTCGTGCCTTCACAACTGATTTTAGAAAAAGCAAGGGCTTAAAATAGGGCCACTTAGGACAAACTGTAGTCGCCTCATCTCCAGAGCGAGAAGGTATACCACCTTTGCTAACTCTACGGCGAATTGATCCTTGAGATATCTCCATCGTTTTCTTATTTTATTTTCTGGAACATAACTATTA